TTCTGGAGGATTTCCAAACATAGACGGATCTGTGCGAAAAAACCGAAAGAAATCTGTACTTGTCGTCGGTCCTACTTTGATTAGACCAAGTCTGATCGCCCAAGTCCAATAAAAAAACAGCCCTTTTCAGGGCTACCTAATCAAAATAAAAGAGTTCCCTTTTCCTTGGGTTTTACCCCTTGAGATTTCCCTTTGGGATTTCCCCTTGAGGTTTTACCCTTGGGATTTCCCCCTTGGGATTTCCCATGACGTCATCGGGATTCCCGTAGGGGTTTCCCCAATGACGTCATCTCCCTAGCAACGGAAGTCACGCATGCGCATCCTTAAACCGGATGTGACGTCATCCCTAGCAACCATTATGACGTCATCCGTTGCCTAGCAACCAAAGTTCCTAGCCCTATCCCCCTACTACTTATAGAAATAAAAGGAGAAATTTCTAAGTTAAGGTATATTTGAAGGAAATATGCAATTTTCGCACATTTCTAGTGCTTCTGAAGGATACTTAAATATATTCAAGACCCAAATCAACCAATGAAAATGAAGACTGGTCCCCTTTAAACATCAAAAATAAATAAATGATGTCGTATACAAACCACCGTACTTATCCGTTTATGTTTCGTGTAATTGCTGATAACATGGAAATCCGAATTAAAATTGAACTCTATCAGCTCTGTAAATTATGTTCGAGAGGATAACTCTCTCGACTTATTTCTGTTTTCTAATTCATTCTCATTTATTACAGATAACACCAGAAGTAATTCTGAATATGTCAGACAGCCAATTAGAGTTCTAAAATCTTATGGAACTGGAATAATGATTTTTGGATACTGCCAAAGGACACACAAAACCAAACAAGGGACAAAACGAAGAAAAAAGGGTCTTCTTAGTATGATTAAGAATAAACTAAACAAAAAAGGTATAACCAATGAAAACAGTTCTGACAATTCTTCTTCAGAAGTAAAAAAAGGGGGACCATTAAACAAAACTAGGAAAATAGAAATCGGATGGTTATTTGAAGAAGACGACAAGAAATTAAAACAAGTTAGACTTAAAACTGGTGGGGGAACCAGAAAGTTGGATGTTCCCAAGATGTGCACATGTGCCGATGTCCTAAACATCGGAAAATCGTTGTTTTTTCCGGGGGATATTTCTGCTAAAGGTCCCCTATCAGATTTCGACTTGGAGATTCGAGATTTCGCACAAAACAAACTTGACGAAAATATAAATGTCGGTGAAATGTACGATACAACAAAAATAAATCTATTAAGATTCTATTTAGTAACTAAAAGGAAATTAAGTTCGGTATCGCGTATACAACTCCCAAGAGTGACGTCAACGGTTACACGACCTACATCGTCAAATATCGAAACACCAGCTAAGTCAAAACCCAATAATTTACCAACCGACATAGCCACAAGAGGGTACAGATCTAATATCGGAACACCAGCTACATGGATACCAAAACCCGATAATTTACAACCCCTCAAAAGTACAGGAGCTTGCAGCCTTACATCCAATATCGAAATTGAATCAACTGATATACTTAATGAGGCCATAACAAAGGTCGGAATTGACTTGGAACAGATAGAACACAGCAATTTGGCCGATGATAGTGGTATCATTAGCTTCCATCCTCGACACTTGGACGTTGACGACGCCTTCAGGTTTTTGGAAGAATTGAACGATTCTCAGGAATCAATACCAGGTGCTACCCAAGAGAATATAATACGAATTCGTATGACAAACTTAATGGAAGATATATTTGATGCATTTTCAGATCGGGGAAATATTACATAAACCTGTTTCATACGTTCGAATATTGTCTAACGGAGAAGCAGAGGTAGGTGTAGGAAGTGGTGTCGAGAGGGATACCTTTTCGGCATTTTGGAGCGAATTTTATGCGAAATACACTGTCGGAGATACAGCTAAAGTACCTGTTCTACGGCACGACATGGGTGTAACAACTTGGCAAGCTGTGGCTCGTATAATCATCAAAGGATATGAAACATGTGGATATTGGCCACTGAAAATTGCATCGCCTTTTCTCGAGGAGGCAATGTTTGGAACTGTCATAAGTGATTTGACTACTGTATTTTTTAATCACGTCAGTCATTCTGAAAGGGAGGTACTGAAATTGGCATTGAATGACTTTGACACAGTCGACAAGGAAGAGTTAATGGATATTCTCTCCACATATGACTGTCGGAAAATCGCCACAGCTGACAATATAAAATATATGTTAACAGAAATTGCACATAAAGAAATCATACAAAGACCAATGTTTATAATAGACAGCATGCGGAGTGTTTTTGTACTTAAACAAGAAGTGATTGACTTGGACGAATTCACCAGGATTTATGCGAGACTAACACCAAGCACCAAGAACGTGTTATCAATATTACGCTTTCCAGCATGTATGACCGACAGGCAAACTCTTGTAGCAAATCACCTTAAACGCTTCATTAGAGGATTAGACTCTTACAAACTAGAGTTATTTCTAAGGTTTTGTACTGGTTCAGACCAAAATACAGAGGGGGATATTTCGGTACTCTTCACAGAGATGTCCGACTTCGCTAAGAAACCTATTGCTCGGACATGTGGGAAATCCCTTGAGTTACCATTGGATTACGAGAACTTCACGGATTTTAATTCCAATTTCAATTGTGTTCTCACCAGTAACATCTGGTTGATGGATATGATTTAAAGAGATCTTTATTATCCACGTTAAAAGTTCCGATCAAAACGTATGTGTGATAACTTTGTAATTTGCAATTCGGTATAACAGAGCTTTCGCTTATTTTTCTACATACCAACGTGTTATATGCTACACGTCATCTAAATTCCCACGCTTCATTTAAATTTACGTTCAGAAGATCTTCTTCTGTTGTCTGTTGTTAAGTCTGATTCGAAATTCGAACATTGATTTTTGTTTTAATATTGTTTTAACGTCACGATACCGAGTTTAAAAATCTAAATCTGAAAATTATATTGCAGTTCTTTATATTATATATTTTTCAACTCTGTAAATCAGATTTTCTATATTATTTTAAAGTGTATGTACCGATTCATAAAGATATTAAAGGGATATTAAAGAGGTTTTCTAAACTTAACTCTAAGTTTAAGTGCATTTTCAAGAACCAAATAATACAGGAATGGTGGAAATCATTGCTATCGAG